TTACATTACTTGTCAACAATTTGATCTTCTCAAGTGTTGCTTTTATGATTTGTTAGATAAGTGCAGAGCAGCAGGGGGATGCAAGGATGAGTAAGGCATTAGTGAAAGGGGATACATAAGCCCACGCACTAACCATAGAAACATGGGTGAGGGCACAGTTCAAACTTTATCAGGGTGGCATGGTACAACCTCAGCTCTGCCCTATCTCTCCCTTTCCTTCATGCAACAGCATGATGAGAACAAGGAGGGCTGGAGTATTCCCTGGCCAGGCTTGGGGGGTGCCCTCTTGGGGTTTGAAGCCTTATCACAGGAACAAACCAGGGTTCAAATACAGACATGGAGCAGCCACTGGCACAAAGCTGACCAGGAAGAGGGACCCACCTGTCCTTCCATTCTGCTTCACCCTTGCTGATCACAAGGGCCTTGGGAAGTCATCACACTGCTCAGGGCTTCAGCTTACTCATTTGTAAATTGGGGTTTACTGAGTGACGCTGAGACCCCAGTCCTTTCTACACACTGGCTTAGCCAGTTGACCTCTAAGCCCACCCCTAGAGGGCCCTCAAGATATGTGGTCAGAAACTGTGGGGATGAGGACAGAGGTCATGTGTGTTGGCAGCCAGGGGGTTCTAAAACCCGTCTTTTGATCCTAACCTCTTGCAAGGTGAGGCAGGCCCTGCCTGGGGATGTGGCCTCCTCCCTCTGCCCTCAGCTCTGATAGAAGCCTACGATGAGTGGTCTTCTTACTCTTCAGACTCAAAAGCCGGAGAACACCAAGGAATCCACCTGGAGCCTCCAGACCCAAGCATTTCTGTCATTCCTTTCCCCTTATCTCTGATTTCCTACCAGTCAGATGATGGTGTCTGAAGGCAAGAGGCCAGAGTTCCCAACTGCCCTCTGGTTCTAGACTGGGTCATCTCTGCATCAGACTTGCCCTGATCAACCTTCTTTGGAAAGGCCTGAGGAAACAGGCCAGACCAGACCAAATGGCTCAACCATGTCCGTGCCACTGGCTGTCTCTGGCAAGAATAAGGGGATCCAGGTAATCCCTTCATCTCCAGTAGCATCCAAGGACCCTGGAGGGCCTCAGCCTGGCTCAGCTCCCACAACTTTTATGTGGCTTTCATCCACTGCCAGCTGGAGTTTTCCTAACCGTGTGTGGATTGGGAAGAGAGGTGGGAAGGTCTAGTACAAAGCTACACACGTACTTGAGGTAACATACGAGTGTAAGAAACAAGAGAGATGGGAAGCCTGGGTGGCTCAGCGGTTAAGTGTCTGTCTTCGGCTGAGGTCGTGATCCTGGGGTCCCAGGCTCGAGTTCCGCATGGGGCTCCCTGTGTGGAGCCTGCTTCTCCCTCTGCTGTGTCTCTGCCCGTCTCTAATGAATAAATAAATAACATCTTAAAAAAAAAAAAAGAAAGAAAGAAACAAGAGAGATCCCTTGTATCCTTTGCCTAGCTTCCTTTGCACAACTATAGCAGGATATCACAACCAGGGTGCTGACATTGGTAAAAATCCATCAATCCATCTCCAGTGTGTGGCATTAATGATCGCGCCAGTCAAGCTTACGAATTTACCCACTTCTCAGGTTGCTGGTGACCCCGGGCGGGGGGGGGGGGGCTGCACCCGCTGTTGCACGTGCGCCGTCAAGACCGACGGGGGTTAGCGGGGGATCTAACAGGGCACGGTATGTGCCAGACTGCTCATCCAGGGCATCGTGTGACCCTCACAAGGGCCTGTGTTGCAGACGTTAGGACCCAGGCGCAGAAAAGGCTGGAGGCCAAGTGCGGGCCAGGTCCCACGGCGAACCCGGGCTGCCTGTTCCATGTGCCTCGGAGCACAGCGCAGAGGGCACCCTGGGCACCAGGAACACTCGCGGAGTCCTTGCGGGCCCCGGGCGGCGGAGAGCAGCCCGCGCCTGACCTAAGCTCCGGGAGCCGCTCGGCGGGACACCTGGGCTGCACCCAGAAGGATGAGGAAGCCGGACGCAGGGACCACGGCCGCCTCCGCGGCCGCGCTCGCCGGGCTCCGCCCCGGGGGACGCCGGGAAGCCGCCCCAGCCCCGCCCCCACCCGCGCGCTCTCCTCCCCCCGCTGCGCAGCGCTCCGCTGCCCCCTGCCGCCGGGGGGTGGGCCCTGCAGCCCGGGCCCTCGCCTCCGGATTGGCCGCTCCAGAAGCCTCCGGGCCGTCCGCCTCCCGCCACCGGATTGGCTGCGTCCCGGCGCTGAGGCCCCGCCCGTTTCCCCGGGTCCTTTGATCACGCGCCTGCCGGCTCTTCCGGGGCCTGGGAGCACGGCGAGGGCGTTCCTGTCCGGGCTGCAGCGGCGGGAGGTAAGGCACGATCGGGTGGGCCGGGCTGCGGAGCGCCGGCGCGGGGCCGCGTCCCGGGGGGCCGGGTTCCGGGAGGTCCGGGCCCTCAGCGCAACCCCCAAACCTCCCTCCCTCGGCCGCGCCGCCCAGCGCCGTGGGAACGACCCCCCACTCGCCGATGCTGGTCCGCATCCTCGGAGCGGCCCGACACCCGCCCCACCTCGGCATGTCCCCTCGACCATGGGACGGTGTGCATGCGACTGTGCAAGCTCGCTGCCCCCACGGACACCGGGACAGGTAGTTCATACCTTGCGGTCCAGTGGAGACCCAGGCGAAGCGGGGTCGGGGACCTTGGGGTCTGCGTGAGGAGCAATGGACCATCTCCTTGCATCTCTCGACGGGAACTGACCCTCTCACCTCCGCCTGGCAGCCCAGGCTAAGAGGGGAGGGACCTGGGCGGAGCCCCGGGTGGGGACCAGAGGGAGGTGACATCACCTCGCAGATACAGTCCAGCCCTGCCCACCCGTGTCCACCCTGGCACGAGACCAGTAGGGGAGAGGCTGTCCCGGCTGTATGTCTGCACCAGCCCGGCCTAGGGAGGGCCTATTGCCTAAGGTGTGGGGATTGGGCGAGACTGAGGCAGGCTCCTCCAGATGCTCCTGCCTCACCCCCGCGGCCCCCCAGTGCAGGACCCTCCTGTTTTTTGTCAGATCTCTCCTTTTGCTCCAGTGGATAGGTGCTGGCGGCCCAGTGTCCGGAGGGGTTGCTACAGAAGCCCGGATCGCGTATCTAAGCTTTTCTTGGTTCAGATGTGCAGATGTCTGGCCAGCACCTGACTGGGGCCTCACCCTGATTTGGGGGGATAGGGGCTGGGCAGGACTCTGGGCCTCCCCTTGGTGTCTTCTACATTCAGGGTATCCAGTGAGTCACTCGCTGTAAGGTTAAACCCAGCACACTGACTTGGAGGATACCTCGTCCCAGTGCCCAACCCAAGTTTTGATACATCACCAGCTCCTGGGGAGGGATCCAGAGCTTGGCGGTCACCCTGGGTGAAATTGATAACCTCCCTTCCTCCTCCCCAGGGAGCCCAGTGGAGGCGCCCTCCCGAGGCTCAACTGCCCATGCTGACTACCCAGCCCTCCGGCTGCCGAGGTCATGAGTAACACTACAGTGCCCAATGCCCCTCAGGCCAACAGTGACTCCATGGTGGGCTACGTGCTGGGGCCTTTCTTCCTCATCACCCTGGTCGGGGTGGTGGTGGCTGTGGTAAGGAGTCCCCTCATAGGCACATAAACACCCACACCTCTGCTGAGGCAGGAAGGGGGCGGGGCTGGTCCAGCCTGCACACATGGTCTCAGCTGTCCTGCTCTTACGCAAGTGGAGGGGTACAGGTGGGTGTCTCACTTGTGGGCTGTGCTCACTTGTGGGCTCAGCAGCCTCCGCAGCTGTGTGTCTCTGTTACAGGTAATGTATGTCCAGAAGAAAAAGCGGTGAGTGTCTCTGCCCCTAATGTTACCTCCCCTGCATTCTGCTTACACTTCTTCCTGTAGGATCAGGTTCTCTACATACAGTTAAGATGCCCCTCGGCTATCCTTACACAAGCCTGAAATTCCCCGCACCCCATTGTTAGGATTTCCTGCCCACCCTGGGCTTACCCACACGAGAGGCCCCTTATAAAATTGGGCTCCCATTCTTAGAATCCTAGTGTGCCCCTGAAGGCACCCACTGGAGGTCCCACTGCGTTGGGGAGTAGACACAGGGCTGTCAGGTGTTTGAAGGGGCTGAGCTCCCCTCCCCTGCTCCCCAGAGTGGACCGGCTTCGCCATCACCTGCTCCCCATGTACAGCTACGACCCTGCTGAGGAGCTACATGAGGCTGAGCAGGAGCTACTGTCTGATGTGGGGGACCCCAAGGTGAGCACTCTGGGGCTCCGGGAATTAGCAGAGGTCCAGCTGCTGCGTTCCCGTCCATACTCCCCTCCCCTACATGGGCCGGGCTAGTGGGGCATCCCCATGGTTGTGCTGAGGCCCAGGAACTCCACCCCATGGCCCCATCTCTCCCCACAGGTGGTCCATGGCTGGCAGAGTGGCTACCAGCACAAGCGGATGCCCTTACTGGATGTCAAGACCTAGCCAGACCCCTCTCCCTGCTCTCCAGAACCATGGGGTCTGGGGCGTGCCCTGGGCCTGCAGTCTGCTGCCTCCCTGTCTGCTAGCACTCACCCAGCTCCCCCTGCGGGGAACTGTGTCTCTCCTTCCATCCCCAGCGGCACCTCACTCCCCTACCCTCCACAGGGCCCTCAGCCCTGTGTGACAGGGTGCAAGCCTACCACCCGCTCCCCCTAATAGAAAAGGTTTTCCAGCTGGGGTGGAAGGGCGGTTAGACCCTGTCAGACCGTGTCCCGGGGCACCACCTTTCTCGAGCCCTCCCCCACCTGGCTTTGGACGGGTTTCCACAGTGACAGGGCCTAATGTATAGTATTCAGTATATATATTTTGTAAATAAAATGTTTTGTGGTTAGAGGTATTTTTTTTTTTTTTCAAGAAAGGCTTAAATTACCTTCCCTGGAGCTTCTTTTCCCCTCTCCTGAGCTGAACAGAGAGCCCTTGGGTAAGCCACCCCCTCAACTAGATCTTTGGCTTCCACACACCTTTCACACCTAACCCCAGGTGCCCACCAGAGGAAGACTCCAGTCCAGAAAAGGATATTTTTTTTATTCAAGTAACTGCAAATAGGAAACCAGATGGGGGGGCCCCAGGCTGGGACAAATAATGACTACCTCCTCCCCAGCAGAACAGGGGGAGAAGGTGGCCCCTACACCCTTGACGGTCTATAAAGGCCCCCCCCCTCACTCTGCTGCAGCATCCTAGGGGCAGAGCCCCACCTTCCCTGGGACTGGGGTAATCGGTAACCCAGCCTGCTCTGCCCTGGGGCCCTTCCCCTAAGAGTCTCGGAGGAGGGGATGTGGGCAGGACAGGAGGAGGCAATGAGGATGAACATTTGGCGCTGGTCACAGCAGCAATGACAGATGTCTAAGAATGGAAACATTGAACAAAAACAACACAACTGTCCAGAGGTAGTTTGTGAACAGAGGAAAAGATGGAACCAGAACCTTGGGGGGTGGGGAGGAGCAGAAGGGTGGGAGTGGGCAAGGCTAGCTCCTTGTTATCAGTGCCCCATGTAAGGAAAGGGGATACTGAGGCCGAGGGGGAAGCGCATGGGGTTGGGCAGGCACTCTAGCCCACCTCAGGTGGCTGCCACAGGGAACGTGGACCTCCTGAGCCTCACCTGGATAAAGGGGGGGAATGCATTTCCCTCACTGCAACAGATTCCAGGAAGGATGGTGGGCTGGAGCCCATTTAGAGAGTAGGGGGGCTCAAACTCCTCCTGCCTTCCTTCCTGTGCCCAAAGGGGGCTGTCTGACCCAGAGCAGGGACCAGGCAAAGTGGGAAGGAAGAGAAGTGGGTGTGAACCGCACCTAGTGAAACACAGGTCAGTCGGGGGGCGTCTTGGGGCCGAGTGCCCCTCCCTACCGGCCATACCTGCTGCTGCCAGTGCTGTGGAGTGGGGCAGATCAGAATGAGATGGGCGCGTGGGCCCCTTTTAAGGCCAGGGGAGCCCTCCCAGGCCCCTTAGTGGGTAGCCAGAGGAAGAATGGGGAAGCAGAAGGGACCCCTCACCCAAAGCCAAGAGCCTGGTCAGCAATGTCCCCACCACTGAGCAGGAGGATGCGGCAGGGGCAGGGCATACAGTGCAGTGGGAAGTCAATCTTATCTGAAGGGCAAGTGTGCGTGTGGGTGGAGGGGTCACTGGAAACCAAGACCAAAGGAGACGGCTCCCCACTCGGGCCTTGGGGCCCCGCAGCGGCTGGTGTGCTGTGTAGTGTGGTGGTGAAGGCGCAGGGGGGTGGGGGGGAGGCGTGGGTCTGGGGGAAGGGGCGGGGGCGGTGGGAGCGGAGCGGAGCTGTCCAGTCCCAGAAGGAAACTGCCCCTCGGTGAAGGAGCAGGCGGCACGGCGCGGTCACTGCTCCTCTTCGGAGGACTCCTGCGAGATGCCCTCTTCTTCCTCCTTCTCCTGTGAGGTGGACAGGGCAGTCAGTGGGAGGGCCAGGCCTGCCCCCCCCAACCTGGGGGAAGGGGGCAGGCACAGGCCAGGATCGCTCCCACCCCTCCCCGGGCTCCCTGGCTCTCCAGAAGGGGGATGAGTCAAGGCTGAGTGTGTGAGTGACTCAGCAACCTCCACGGCCCAGTTTCATTCATAAAAAAGGAAGAATTTAGAGGGAGGGAAAAAAAAAAAAACCCACACACATGGTGCTCTTGCACCAGGCCAGGCCCCCTTGGCCCCCGGGCCTGTGGTGGACATGGGGGGACCCACAGAGCCCCGTGTGGCACTGAGCTGCAGCCCGAGGAAGTGAGTGGCTCTCTGTAGGAAGGGAAGGGAGAGGTGGCCAGAAAGAGGAAGCGGGAAGGGGCGGCTGCGGGGTGTGCTGGGTGCAGTGCCGGGGAACCAGGTGGCCTTGGCCCGCAGAGGCAGCTGATGGGCCATGGACTGACCCCGGGCCAGGGCGGGGAGGAAGGGGAAGTGTGTGCCGCCGGGGCTCACTCACTGGGCGGGAATGTCGGGACACCACATGGGCCTGCGGCCCCCGTGCCAGGCACAAACTCCAAAACAACTTGTTTCCTGTTACTCACTCCTGGGGCTGGGCCAGCACCCCCTAACTCCCCTCCTCACCCTGGTGGTGGCTCAGCTCGAGGAATGAAGGCCTTGAGATCAGATTGGGGGGTGGGGTAGGTAGGAAAAGGCCAGAAAGAGCAGGCTGGGGTTGCCGTAACTTCAGTATAGGCCCTAGAAGCAGCCTCCTGGACTCCGCCTACCTTCTTTCATTAACAGGTGTTGGGGGGCGGGGCTTAGAAACGGATGGTGGGTCCCAGTTGAGGTGCTGAGTGGGATCACCTCTCTGCTCCCACAGAGCACTACCCACCTGCCCCAGGACTGAGCTCCTTTGCTGCTTCTTCCTTCGCTACCCAAGAGCATGGGGAGGACAGACCTCACCCTATGCTCATAGTCTCCTTTCCTCATTTCTGTAATGGGGCCCAGGGGTGGGAGACTAGATGGCCTCCAAGTTCCCCCTAGAAATGGAGTCTGTTCTAGGAGTAGAGGAAAGAGAAGTAGCCCCAACCCCCCCCCACCAGGGCAGGGCAGGGGTCAGAGTCTGGTTTGTCCTCAGGACCCTTCACTTCTCAGGGACACAGCCCTTTAAAAGCCGTGGGCTGGGTGCCAGGACCCTGGGCCACACGCACATCCTCTCCCTCTCCCGGCCTGGGTAAAAGAATGATGATGTCCCACTAGGATTCCTGGCTCAGGTTGGGCAGAGCCCTCTTCCCAGGCAGAGCACACAGGACTAATCTGTCACCCATTCTTAAACACCCTCCCAGGAAATAAGAAACCGCCACCATCCCTTCACCTACCAGTTTTTTGGGTCTGCCCCTCGGTTTCCTCCCTGGAGTTGTGGTAGTTTTCTAGATGGTCAGAGAAAAAGATCCACTAAGTTGAAAAACATCCCTACCACTGCTCACTGGATGCCCAGTGCACCACCAGGATGGGGAAGGGCCGAACCACCTACCTCTGCTCAGGGCAGCCTGGGACTCCCTCAGCCTGCGGGCCCACCCGAAGCCAGCTGGTGATGACTGGCTAGCCACACTGCACCCCCCCCCAATATACACACACGCCCCCCACTCCCTCCTCCACCCATGACTCAGAGGATATGAGTCGTGTCTCAGAAAAAATAAAATCAAAAACAAAACAACGTCTCTGAGAGACTGATGCCACTGTAAATCTGGCCTTCCCTGCTTGGCCCCATTTCTCTGGGGATCCAGGGGACCCCGGAATGGAAGGGAACGTGGTCAGCCTAGGGAGTGATGGAACTACCCCTTCACTCTTCCCCATTCGCCTTTCTCCAGACAAGGAGAGCTATGGGGCTTCTAACTGGATTTCCCCATCGTCCAGTGCAGGCCTGAGTGCCCACCAGTGAGGAGTCAGTCATTGCCCTGCTGTCCCGTTAGCCAAGACCCACTGCCACCCGTGCCTCCTTCATCCTTACCCGGGTCTTGGCAGCACCCTTGTTTTTGCTCCCCTTTGGTCGGCCCCGAGGTCTCTTAGGTGTTGGCACTTCACTGGGTTCCTTCTGCAAAGGCAGGTGGAATAATCGGACACAGATGACATCTGCCCCACCCCTTTCGAGACACAGCTCTCCCCTCCACCCCAAGTCAGCCAGCCATCACCCTGACCCAGAAATCCACAGGCACCACAGCAGGCAAGCCCTCCAGACCCAGGTTCTCGCTCTATTTTGCAAAGCCCCTCCCGTGCTTCCCTGTGACAACAAAATGACAAGAAACCAGAAAAGGGAAAGGAGTCATAGGGCAGAAAAACCCCATCCGGCAGCTCTGCCACCAATGGGCCCTAAGCTCTCAGGCAAGACCCAGAATGCTTGGGACTCAGTCTCCTCAACTGCAAATGGTGAGAAGACTTCCCTCACAGAGCATCAGAGCCTCATGGAAGGGTGCGGAAGTGTCCCCCACTGGGCTAATACCACGCCCCAGCCCCTGGGGGGATGCAGAAAAGGATAAACACCCCCCCCACCAGAGGGAGCCTCCAGCCACTACCTGCAAACCAAACTCCCTCCAGGCTTTGTCCCAGGGAGGGAAATCAGGCCCGGATGTCAGAGACCAAGAGATCCCTGCCGTAGTCGCCGGTGAAATTTACTAAGCCTGACTAAGCCCGATGGAATAAAAAGCTGCTGCATAATGCACAGAAGCTGGGCAGTAAAGGCAGGTCAGCTACGGTTTCGGGGTAGCTGCCCACAGGCTGTTTGGAACTATGGTCCAGTAACCCGAAACACCCCCCCACCACCACCACCACGCAGACACCCGGCTGCAGACCCCAGCTACCTGGCAAGAGGTGGAGGCCGAGGGAACGAGACAAAAAGACCAACTCCCTCCACACTGTGGGCCGTGCCAGGGGCAGCTGAAGCCCACCACTCTGACTTCTCAGGGTTCACGTCTCCCCGCAGTCAGTACCTCCCGTGCTCTCCATCCTACAGGTAGGAGAAGCCTGAGGCCCACGGAGCAAAGAGCAAGGGTTGACCTGGACCCCTGGCCTCTGGCCCTCGCCCCTGCAGCCCCTCCGAGAGAATCCAAGATCTCCACCAAGTGACAGGTGCTCCCCCAACAGCCTCACCGGCCATGCTCCCTAGGGTGCCCCAAGGGGCCAGGCTGGCCTTCTAACCCTGTGGAACCTCAGTGGCGGCCAGCACCAGGGTTCCCAGAGTCCCACTCCTATGACAACTTCCCCACATTTTCTGTTCTCGGGCTTCCGTTTCCTTTTACAGAGCCAGAGTAGTGCCTGGGCCCAGGGCCGCTTGAAGCCAGGCCTGTGGACAGGTGCAGCCCACAAGCTTTGTTACAGGTCTGGGATAAGGAAGTACGGAGTTGACAGTTAAGTATTTAGTAACTTTTATGGCTAATGGACAGACTAGTATGTGCAGCGAGCCTAAGGATTAGAAACACAGGACTTAGACGTATATGTAAACTCCTCTTTACTGTGTTTTTGTAAACGTGCTGGTCTATCCACAGCAGCCTGGACATAAAGGGTGGGTAGTTTACCAGGATGTGAGCATGAGGTCACTTCTGGCTTGGATTATCTGGCATGGGCTCAGCGGTCACTCAAATTTCTCAGCCCCCACTTCTCTCCTGGGGTCTCAGGAGCTGACCAGTGTTGGCATATGTGGGGTGCATGTTTGGAGTGAGCGCACACGGACATGCAGCATGGATTCTGCAGCCCTCTACTCCAGCTGTCACTTGCTCAGACACGTGGCACCTCCCTAACCCAAAGGGGGTAAACCAAGCAAAGGTTTGGACACCCACCTGACTCCCTACCAGCGCCGTCCCGGGACTCACCGGAGGCTGCTTGCGCGGCCGGCCCCGCCCTCGCTTCTCAGTGCCGTCCTTTTCCTGCTTGGAGGCCAAAGGCTGGCTGGACTTCGAGCTCGATTCGCTCATCTTCCCTTCTCTCTGGAGCAGGTGGAGGAGCGACGGCTGGGATGCTAGGGAGCAGGAGAAGTTGTTTTAAACACGACATCTTGCTTCAGCCACCTCCTACCTCCTTCACCACTTCCACCCTCCAAATGCACTCACTGTAGGACCCTGCCTACTCCTAGGGCTACCCAGGATTCCTGACCTCCTGAGGATGGGGTGAGGGGGAATCCCTGGGTGGCTCAGTGGTTTAGCGCCACCTTCAGCCCAGGGTGTGATCCTGGAGTCCTGGGATCAGGTCCTGCATCAGGCTCCCTGCATGGAGCCTGCTTCTCCCTCTGCCTATGGTCCCTGCCTCTCGCTGTGTCTCTCATGAATAAATAAATAAAATCTTAAAAAAAAAAAATAAAGCCTTAAAAAAAAAAAAAAAAAGGATGGGGAGTTGGGGGGGTGTCCACCCAGCCCCGGCAGGCTGCTACAGGGTGGGGCTGGGCCGTTGGCCCTAATCAGCTCCTTATCTCCTGCTCAGAAGGGTGCTTTGTTGTCCTGCCACCCCCACGGGGCCCAGGCCCAAGAGGCACAGCCAAGCTCAGATGTATTTCTGCAGGTGAGGCCACCTAGACGGAGGTGTAGGGGTGTAGGTTGGGGGGTCCTCACACTGCCCAGGGTTCCTCTGTCTAGCCAGCTGCCCTTTCTCTTAGAGAAAAGCAAGCCTGAATGGCTCACAGGCAACAGGGGAGGAAAGGGAAGCAGAATCAATCAGCCCCAGACAGCCAGGGCCATCAGTACCCCCCCACCTGGCCAACAGAGTTGCCTATCTGCCCCGGCCCAAGCCTCAGGACCAACTGCGACACTCCACATCAATCACCTGGCCAGGGGTGGTGCCCACCCCACCACTTAGGTCTCCTCTCCGCTCTCCCTGGGCTAGAGCCTTGGGGATTCAAGGCTGGGAACAATTTGGGAAGGGGGAAGATGGCCAAAATTGTAGTAGGGGAGGAAAACCCAAAGCCCTTTCCCCTTGTCCCCACCCCACCCACCTGGAGTCAAATAAAATCTTCCCCTTTGATGCCTGCTTTCAGGAGGGGCAGAATTTCTCCACTGAGATGGATCCTTCTAGCAGATGCTGGCTGCCCTCCCTCCCTCCCACCCCCCCCCCAGCCCTAGCAGAGCTGGTCCTCAAAGCTTCTTTTCTAGCATTTTCCCTCTTCTTAGAGGCCGTTTTGGGTTTAATCAGCCCCACTAATTTTGAGTTTACATAAAACCTCCCACTGCAAGGAGCACCTGCACCCCGGATTAGGGAGGCTCTTCCAGAGGCTTAAAACACAGTGAGGGTCCTCCCCTCCCCCATCCCATTTCCCCTTTTGTCTTTCCAGTTGCAGAGACAGGAGACCCGGGAGACCTAGGACTCTGTACCTCCCTGGTAACAGATCCCTGGTTGCCCTTGGGAAAGGGCGGGCCCACGCAGCTACACTTCCAAAAGACCTCCATCTGTAAAATGGGGTAATGGGAAGACCTCTACCCCAACTCCCTCTCCAAACTGATGCCAAAGATTAAACCAGATCATAGTTAAATGATCATAGTCAAGATCATAGTTAAATGCGTCAACATAAAGTCCTCACTCCAATCAAAATGAGAACTAGAATATTAGAAAATGACTTTTCTTTCCCCTATTTCAGATTTTCAGAACACATTTCCAATTTTAACTTAGCCAAGAGAAAGTTTTTTGCAAACTTGTGATTTTTGGAGGGCTTGAGGCCCCCATCCTCAAGCATCACGATTCTCCAGACGGTGAGACTTTGTCTGGTAATTATTCTATTTTATAATATTTCAGACTTGAAGACCCTTTTAAACAAGGTGGTTGGTGATTTATCCTGCTCCGTCATTAGTGGCTTGGCCTGCTCTGTAATTACAGGCAGTGATTAGAATCTTATATTACACCACAGGTTCCCCTTCAAGCTAAACATCAAAATTAATCAGTCTAAATGAGCGCTGACCTCACATGAGGTCTGCAGAAGGCCCCCTCACGGAGGGGGTTCCAGTTGGGCCAAGCCAGCGCCTAATCCCAGAAAGCCTGGGCCCAGCATGCCTGGGAATCCTGGTGGGTCTCCGGGAAAGTTCCTGCATCATCTGGAGATCCCCACCACCACCTCATACTCCTGGGGACCCCTTTAATCCACTCTCCAACTCCCTCCCCTTCCAGGCCTCCAGAAACTGAATGAAGGCCTGAAGCCCTCTCTCGTGAGACCAACAAATGCTTGTCTCTTCTTCCACCTGTTTCTGAATATCAGAAGCCTGGCTGGCGAAGCCATGTTTAGGGCCCAACCTGAATCCTTCTGTATGTAATGAGCCTTTTTGGGCCTCAAGCTTGCCCCTCCACACACCGTGCATGCAATGGGTCTTCCACAAATGCACACGAGTCTACGAGCACAACCCTAGGAAATCATCATGGGGCTCCCTTGCTTTCCGGAAAAAAAGTAGCCCAGAGAGGCCTGAGGAGTTGCCCAAGGTCACACAGCAAGTCGGTGAGCGAAAGAGAGGTTGTTACCGGCGACCCCTCTAGCCCGGGACTTTCTTTCCTTACCCTCCTGGAGACTGAGTAAAGTCTCTGTCGCCCCCTGCTCCAGACCCGGCCCCAGAGTGACTCTGCAAGTGTCTGGGCCGGGCCGTTGCAGGTCAGCCAACGAAACTAGGGGCCCGAGCGCGCGGGGGGAGGGGCACGGCTGCTCTCGCAGGCGCGGGAAACTGGTGCACCCCGACCGCATGCACCGCCACGCGGGTGCACCCGGCCCCACTTCCTGCCAGAGGGGGCACCCAAGCCCGCCTTGGGGCAGGAAACCTGGCGCGCGCGGGCGCGGGGTAGAGGAAGAAAGCCACCTCCCTCCGCGCCCTCCCCGCAAAATAAAGCTCCAGGAAAAAAAAAAAAATTGAAACGGGGAGTCAGAGGGACTAGTTCCAACAGAGCCCTGCAAAGCAGAGAAACCTGTTTGTGGGGGCGGAGGGCAGGCCCGGCCCCGGGGGCTGAAGAGGCGCGGGCCGGGCCAGAGGTGGGGTCGGGGTGAAGCCCCAAACCCAGGGCCGCGCGGTTCGGCCTCCTCTGCGTAGGGGGGGGCACCAGGAGGAAGGCCGAGCGCGAGCAGAGCTGAATTGCGGGGCTCCCGCCCATCCCCCTCACTTCTAGAACTTCCCCGGGCTGCGGGGGGCGCCCGGCCCCCCACTCGCCCGCCTCGCCGCAGCCCGCTCCTCTCCCCACCCCCCACAGCCCGGGCCCCGGCTCGGGCTCGGGCTCCAGCGGGAGCGGCGGCCGCGCGAGGTGCACCGGGCTCCGCCGGGTGCACAACTCGCGCTCGCCGCAGCCGCGCGCCCCCTCCCCCACCGCGCGCCTTTCCCGGGTCCCCGCCCCCCGCAGGGCACCCGCGGCGCGGGGGAAGGGGTGCGGGCGCCCTCCCCGCGCCGCGGGGCCCCGCCGCCCGCCCCCGCGCCGCGCGGCCCTCCCCCGCCGCCGGCTCGCGCAGCCCCGGCCTGGGAATAAAGCCGGAGGCGCGCGCTGCAGCCCCGGGCGGCTCGCAGGAGGGGCGGCGTGCGGGCGGGGGCGCGGGCGCCCCCCTCCTCCTCCGCCGCCGCCGCGGGCCCCGGGGACGACTCACCGCGAGCTCGGCCGCCGGCCTGCGGTGCGCGCTCCGGGCTGCCGGGAGCGACGGTGCTGGGCGCTGAGGACCGGCCTGGCTCCGCCGCCGCCGCCGCTGGTCGCAAATGCGGATCTGAAACCGGGAGAGAGAGCAGAGGCGCTCAGAGACCGCCGCCGCCGCGTGCTCGCCGCCCAGGCCCCCGCGGGGTATTTATCTGTCACATTCAGGCGGGGGGACAAAAATATCCGCCCTCCCCCGAAGGATGGCGAGGGGCAGGAAGCTAGGCACGGCCCGTGCGCGGCCTCAATAAATAAATAATTTAATTAAATGATAGATATATAAAAAAAAGAAGCCACCGGAGGGGCCGCGAACTCACGCCTTCTTGGAGCCGCGCCAGCGCCAGAAATAGCCCGGGCTCGGAGTCCCAATTAGAGGAGCGCAGCCCCGGCTCAGGGGAGCTTAAAAAGAGCGACCCAGGGGCAGGGGGGACGGGCCCGCCCGCGCCAGCCGTGTCACCGTGGGGGGCGGGGCCATGCAAATGAGCCCGGGGATTTAAAAGGGCGGCCGCCCGCCAGCCGCCGCCGCCGCGCGGGTGGGTGCTGACGACGGGGAGGGGTGCGCGGGAGGCCTGGGCTGGGAACCCGAGGCCACGATCCCCTCTACTGTCCCGGGCCGGGAGCCCGGGGAGGGTGCATAGAGTGGGAACGCCAAGGGGCTTTTCGCGGGGGGAGAGGGCAGGGCGTCCTCACAGCCTGGAACGGGGCGGGGGGGGGGCGGTCCTGGGAGGATCACCTCCAGGGACCTTCCGGGCGCGTGGGCCCGGCGCCCGCGGGGCGCGCTGGGTGTGGGCGGGCGTTAGTGCCCGCGGGATCCGCGCGGGCGGGCGGGGGCGGGGAGGAACGCGCCCGGGAGAATTCCGCGGCCTACCCGCCGCCCCAGCGCCCAGATTCGCGGCTCGCAGATTCCCCTGGGCGGACAGGTGTCAGCATGTGCATTTCAGTGCCAACCTGCGTGCGGCTGACTGGTGAAATACAAGTCTTGTGAAATCCAAACGTGAAACTTGCGAAACCCCGAGTTCTCGCTTATTAATGGCCGCGAGTGAGCCGTCCTCCAGGTGCAGCCTCCAAGCGAAGCCAACGATTGGCTCGCTTGCAGGTAAACCCGAGGGTGGGCTCGTCCCGCTAGGGGACTCGCACGGTGTCCTGGAGATACGCCTACCCACTGGGTGCCCTAGCCTTCTCCGCTGCGAAGGAAAACGAGAAAGCGTGAGCCCACGGTCGCCTGGAAGCACTTTGAGGGCAGGGACTGGGTCGACGCGAGCCGTCCCCGCCACGCCTGGCCCGCCCGGCGCCACGGAGACTTGTTGCACGAACGAGGAGGAAGCCAAAGTCGAAAGATGGCGGGGAGGGCGGTGGGAGAAGAAAGGGCGCTGTCGAGAGCGGCGCGCCCTGCAGGCCGGGCCCGGGCCTCCCCGGGCGCACCTCCCGCCTCTGGTCCCCGCGGCTGCCCTCCACACCTCCCGTGATGCAGGGAAATGCAATGCGGCCCAGTGACACACGGCTGTGACTCATGTTTTTCTTTGCTCCCCTCCTTCCTCCCCGGCCGGCCGAGGCCCCAGCCCAGCCCCCTCCTCAGGGGGCGAGCCGGCGATGGAGGGGGCCGCCAGGAAAACCCTGCGCCCGGAGTGGAGGCGGGGTGGGGAGCCGGAGGGGCCGGGCCTCCTACTTTCAGGAATGTTTCAGGAATGTTTCCGGTGGGGGTGGGGAGCAGCGCGGGATGGGCCCAGCCCCCACCCGGGGCGGCGGGCCGGCGGGCCGGCGCTCGGGGCCGGGGGCAGCACGTGCTCGGCCGGGTGGGGGCGGGAGCGCCCGGGCGGGAAGGCGCCCGGGCCGCGGGCGCGGGTTCAGCCAGGAGGGCGCGCGGGCCTGGGGCCGGCCAGGGCTCGGGGTGGGCCCGGAGGCCGCCCTGCGCGCGCCGGCTCCCCGCCCCGCGCCCAGGTGAAACGGAGTTCCTGCGAAGTGCCCGGGCCGCCCCTGGAGGGGAAAGGAAGTCACGGGAGGGAGAGGAGGAGGGTGGAGGGGAAGGCCTGGGAGAGGCTGGGGGAGGGGCGGCCTGCCCCTTTGTTTGGAGCCGGGGGTGGGGGCGGGGCGGGGTGGAAGGCGCGCGGCTCCCTCCATCTTTGTGCCCTGCGTGCGGAGCGCGCGCTTAGTAGGCCGCGACTGGGGTCTGCTGGACGCCTGGAGGTAGCTCGAGAAGCTCTGCGGCGTTGAGTGGAAGAACGAGCCTTCAGTTCTGGCCCCACTACCGTCAGGGCACGGTTCCCCGCCGGCGACGCGGGCCCCGGGCCGGGCCCGGGGGTGGCCCTCGCAGAAGCGCGCGCGCCCCTAGACGCCGGGGCGCCAGGCCGAGCTCCCGGGCCCACGGGACGCAGCTTACCTGGGGCAGCCCTGCCTTCCGCGCATGGCCGGTGTCCTGCGGCCTTCCCTGAGGGACCTGGGGAAGGGAGAGGGACTTCTGCCTCCGGGGACTGTGGGAAAACTTGGCCAACTTTTTGGCCCACTTCTAACTAGCCGACTTGATCTTTTTTTCCTACCCTTATTTTTCCCCTCGCCCTGATTTTCTCACCGACTTGGTTTTTTACCTTGTCCTGCGGGTATTCTTGTCAGCCACCTCAAACCCTCCCTGGAAGGAGGCGGGTATAAATACACTTGGGGGCAAATACGATAGCTTGCTCCTCTTTAGGATTCCCCTCGCCCCTGTAATCCACGGAACTACCCACTGACCTCCATGCCTTCTGGACTAAAGATGCCCTGAATTCCCTTCCTTTTCTGTCCTTCCTTTTTCAGTAAGTATTAAGCAGAAGGGTGAGTGGTCGTTAGAAAAAGATAAATAAGATATGGTTCTTGCTCCAGCAAGTTTCCTATTTAGAGGAATCAGAACCAAGAACACACCAGAGAAAGCTGAGGAGCAACCCAGGAGATGCCAAGAGGCCAAGTGCACTCATTGATTCAGTCAATATTTATTGAAAGCCTACTAGGTACTAAGAGCTGATCCAAACTCTTGGGGTACAAGCAGTGAACAAAGTAAAATTCCCTGTGCTCTTGAAGCTTATGTCTAGGGAGTCAGGCCTTTAAACAGAGACTCATGCTACAGAGGGAGAGAAGATGGGAGCTCAGAATAGTCAGGGAAGTAAGTTGGCTGGAGGAGCTGGGCTGGAGTAGGCCTTGAGCTGGTCTTGATGGCATTTGGATAACTAGGGAATTATGAGGAGCAGCAAGAAAGAGCTATTCTAAGCCTGGGGCATCAACCTGGTTGGTCAAGGCCTGAGGAGTCCCAGGGGAATCCGTCATGTCAGAACTGGTCTTCCCTATAGGAAACATTTTCTTACTGTCAGAGTTGGGTTATGCAGTTTCCACAAGGACAACCAGCCAACTTCAGGAACCCAACAGGAATGTCCACGGAGTGAGGAGTTCCGATCAACTCTGTATTTCAGGACAGCTGCAGGTTAAGTTCATTTTCACCTGAGCTGTTGCAATTCCTCCTGATGGATGCTAGTTCTTCCCCTGCCTTGCCAAGTGGTGTAGCGGGAGACTGACACTCCCAGTCGAAGTTTGGAAATGCAGAGGTTGTAGTGGGTTGGGGTGTCTCTTAGCTTTCCCTGGGGATTCATGTCTCAGTACATCTCTCCAGTCAGCATATGCGCTTCTCAATACCTCTTCTGAGTCATCTACCACTAGCTCTTGGAAGAGTAGAGGGGAAGACCACTGTCAATGGTTCCATGTAATGTTTGGGTTAGTTGAGTTTTTCTAGAAGCCCAGGGGATGAGGTTTGATTAACATTGTATGTCCAGCCCAACATAAAAGGTAGTGGGAGGAGGCAGGAAGAAGAGAAACCAGAATAGTTTAACCTATTGCCCAAACTGGGATACTTTTTAAAGTAAACATTTTACTGATGAAAACTGTATGTGCAGAAAATGCACAACCCTGTATCAGCTCAATGCATTTTTGTAGAAGGAGCACCCTGTGTCACCAGCACCCAGATCCAGAAACCATCTCCAGCCCCACCATGTCACCACCATTGCCACTTCTAATAGCCTCCTGTACTTTCCCCCTTTGCATGCATCGCATGGATGGAATCATAGGTGATACACCCCTGGGTTTGTTCAACATTATATCTGAGTTTCACCTATGTGGTAGCATGCGGCTAATATTCTTCTTGCTGCATAGTTATATGGTGTGAATATGCCACAGTTTATGTATCTGTTCTGTTGAAGGGCATTTGGATGGACTCTGGTTTGGGTTATTACAAATAGTACTACTGTGGGTGTTCCAGAATATGTCTTTGTGATTAGATGTGCAAATTTCTGCTAAGTAGTGCCTAGGAAAGGAATTCTTGGATTGTAGGATAGGTTTGTCCAGCTATTACAAGCAAGTAGGTCACTTAAGAGTAAAAGGGGGGACTTAGCGGTAGTTTTGACCAGACAGCATAAAACTGGGATTGATCCCCGGCTGTATCAACCAGGATTGACCCACGCATGTCACATATAGGGGGGCCCTGGTGTACAGTGTTTGACCACTCCTGGAGAGTCACCCAGCTACTAGTACATCTGGTCATCTGGCAGGATCAGGTCTCCAGGCCCTGCTGACCACAAGCTCTGCTGCCAGGAGGCCTGGCAGGCCTAGAATGGGAGGAGAGCCTCTTCTGCTTCCAACTTTCGAGGGAAAATCTCTTCAACGAATTGGAAGGCCCAGGAGACAGGCACCCCCGTGCCCTGAGCCAACTACCCATGCTGCATGGCTGCAGGGCACCATGGACTTTGTCAGCTTTCTTCAAGGCTGAAACCCAGGTAAGCCCCACTCCTCAGCAGCCTCAGAAAAAAAATGAGGAAAAGGAGTTTATAAGCATGGACTAAATGCAAATGTGTTCTCAGATCCTTCAACACTCCTACCAGATCAGTGATGCTGTTGCCGCCATTATATAGGTGCTAAAACTGAGGCTCAGGAAGATTAAACAGCTTGACATTCTGCTTCTATGCCCAGGCTGGGTGGCGTTGCTGCCTTCTCCCAGCCTGGCCAGATGGGTCTCTCTAGGCACCAAGAGAGGCATAAGGGATGTGGCCTTGAACCAGGTAGCTACATTCCCTGTCTTTAAGTGATGTACTTTGGGTGGGATGGGGGGCAGACAAGTACATGGCAAATATACTTTGAACAGTGTGGTACCTGCTGGAATGGGGGCCCGAGGAAGCACAAGGCAGGGGCCCAGTGTGTGGGTGGAGCATCACAGGAAGGCCTGGGAGTGGGCAGGTGAGGCAGCAGGGCATCTGATGTGGGGATGGGCTCCAGGCTGTGACACACATGGGAGCTGGACTCAGCACCATTCCCCACACAGTTTAGGATGTGAATTAGATCCCACCAAAGAAAGAGGAAAATTTGAAGGAAGCAGGGAGAGGGAAATACCACTGTGTGGGCTGTGGAGACTTGGGCTTTTCTGTAGCACATATAACATCCAGTTAC